TGATGAATGCTCCATTTTTCTTGAACGGTACGGTGAATCGTCTCAACTACCGCTATTGGGCTAATTCAAATCCCAGAAAACATATTTCGTGAGGTACATACGCAACATCCCGAGAAATTGAGTGTTTAGGCTAGCATTTTTGGTAACCGTATAATAGACCCCTTCTTTACCTATAAATTTAACAGGAGCAATGTACTTAGAGTGATAAGAAGATGCGATTCATCCAGAATTGGTGAAGATACTAGAGAATGATAACGGATACATGGAAAACCGTCTAATATTCCAACAAAATGGTGCGCCACCCCACTATGCTGCAGTGATTCGTCAATATTTGGACCAAAAGTTTCCAGGACAATGGATTCGAAGGAGAGGCCCCCGCGTTCTCCAGATTTAAGCCCGTTAGATTTTTTCTTCTGAGGTCATTCTCAGCATTTACTTGATTGATTTTGTTTTTAAAGAATTTTTTTAAATAAAAATATTCTAACATGTTTTTGTAACTTTAATTAGCCCCTGTAATGGCTAGGTAGATAGTAGCGATGTAAGACTCGGGGGTTATAATCTACATAAAAATAGCTTCAAAATAAGGTATCACTCGACCCCTCATTCCATTTAAAATTTTGGGGGCCCTCGTCACCCCCGCTAGGGCTTTGCCCCCTAGGGGATGAAACCACCAGAAAAATGGTTCCCCCTTAAATCAAAAATCGACGGGTACGAGGGTTTTTTCTTAAATGTCTTGGGGAGCCCAAAATCACCTCTGTTTCGTTTTCAATTGGCCACCCTGTATATGTTCTAATTATGTCTGTGATTATGTCATTCTGTGTTTAGTATTATTATGTTATTTTTAGTGTGTAAGTTGTTAGTATTTTTAATTTTGTTGTTTTTTCTCTCTCATACCCAGTAAGCACTCCTACATGTAATTACTATTTATAATGTTTGTACGAGTTTTAAGTAAATAAATAAATAAATAAATATGTCTAGCATAGACCTCATTTTTAGGTTTGATGTAAGCTTTCTCTAGTATGGCTATATATGTTGAACATTCACTCACCAATGCATACACATTAGGAGTTATATGATTTACCAGAAGTTGTAGTTTAATTTCATCTCTGGGATCTTTAGTTTTAGGCTTGTTGGCAACTGAAATCTGAATATTTTGAAAGTATGCGTTTTGATGCAAGCAGATATTACTCCTGCATCTCAATTCAGAACTGATTCTGAACTAAGTCCTAACAAACCTAATAACATATCAAATGACAAAATTAAACAACTGGTAACAATGATATACTGTTGAATACAAATCATTTTCAAAACAAAGTCAAGATTAATAAATCAGGGACGAACAACTTGTTTTAGTTTTGATCCTCGAATTGTAATTATAAGTTTTCTTGTAATACCACGAAATAGCTGACGTTACACTTTAACTCAGCTACAAATCCAGTCACGAATTTGACCGACTAGAAGTTTTCCTTAAGCTCCTTTCCCACATTTCATAAATACAAATTAGATCGTGCTTATCCGCAATGTCATCGGTAAATAGAGAAAAGGTCCGATTTGAACTTCGGATAGTTTAAAACACTCTATTTGCTTGCCAAGGGTCCCAACAATAAGATAAGAACCCGAGAAATTGTATATTGAAATCCTAAATTTTATAAAAGATTTATTTCCTGATCTGATGGCAAACAAAAACCAATAATTTATGAAATAAAATTAAGAACAACATCTTCATTCCTGCACTAACCTAGACTGAAGGATTAAATCAAATTTCCTGAAAACTTTGCAATTGGTTTAAAAAATCTAGATGATTGAAGTTTTGCTTTGTATATTCTCAGATTTTTGCCTGATCTATAAGATAAATGCTGCCTAAACTAAAACTTCTAAAGCAAAGTGCAACTGAAACTTTCAAAGTCGATTGGCTCTAAGACTGTTAAGTGCTCGATTAGAAGTTTTAAATTTTGAGTGCAATTTTTAAGTCAACAAATAATATCGAGTTAATCTGGCAAAATGGAGTTTAATTGGTTAAATTTTAAAAGTTCCTTAGGACGGGGCGTTAAAAGATTATCGGGCTTAGTTTGTTTGACAAATTTAATTTTAATCTACAAATAAAAAAAAAAAAAACGTAATGAGTTTTAGCCAAGATAAATCAGTAAAATGAAAAAGCAATTTTAGGAACCAGAACGAGAATTTCTTTTTTGGAAAGTAAATTGAATATTGTACTTTCTAATTAAGTGTTTAACTTTTTCATGGGTCTGGACTTAAAAGTAAATTATTTTTCTACGTTACATTTTTAAAACTTGTCTCATGAATTCACTTATTAGACTTCGATATTTTATTTTTCTAGATCTTTTATGTAATTTATTAGTTGAGGGGGAGATTTACTCTTTAATAAAGTTTAAAATAAAACGAATTGTATTTTTGCACGAAAATCTAATTTTGAAATTAAATTTATCAAGTGATTGAATTGATGATAATTTCAAAAGAGCTCTGGATCGAAGTCGAGGAAAAGCGAAGCTAAGAAATAAAATAAACAAAATTTTAATAAAAATTTCTTTTGGTTTTAAGTTATTCTAAGCGGAATGCACCGACTGACGACTCAAGAACTTATTTACAAACCAGATTCTGCATTTCTCTGAAGCGTCGTGGAAGAATTTGTTTTATGATAACGAGTTTTCTACGAAAATGTGAATCAAAAGGATTTTGGATTCTATAATAGATATTTCAAAAAATACAATACAATGGATAATAAATTAATTGAATTGAAACCTCATCTATTTCAAAATAAAACTATTTCAAATCACAAAATAGGTATATTTTTATAGTCTATGATAATACGTACCTACCTGGAAAATATTTTCGCTTTCCGATCTTTGTTCTTTCAATAAATAAATATTTCATCAAATTTAGGATTTTACGATTCAATTTCCCGCTTTCTATCGTCTCAAGCGTAGATGTTTTTGTTTATTGTTATTTCGGGACCCTTAAATCTTCAGTTCAGGCGAAGCTTAGGTAAACAATCATAAGATTGTCTAGTCAAAAAATTTCTCTTTCAGACATTTATTTGTGTTGTGCGTTGACTAATCCGTAATGTATAGCGCGGTAGTGGACTGTATTTACTATGCGGCGCAACCTCTAAATAATGAGAAAAAGGACTTACCCAGTGATTCCATAAGTGCACTCCTGCAGGGCCCTGCTTCACACACGCGCTACGGATTATGCTGTTTCCCAATTAGGGGTTATAGAACTTTGTAGAAGGTTGATACGACAGGACTTCACAATGAAGTTTTTAGAAAAGAAATATTGGGACCGTGTTAAGACGTACCTACTACGATGCACCCGTGTCGTCTTATCGAGTTTCTTAGCAAGTCTCTTTCAAATTACTCGCTTCTGGTACGTCCAGTATCAAAATCTAGAGGTACGAAAATGCGAGCAAACAGGAATTTTGCACCTTTGCCAAATTGTATGAAATTTACTTAGAATAAAGACGAAACAATTTGCTTTGCCTATTTTGAATTTTACACTTAACATTTACGTTTATCAAGTTGTAGTTTTTTGCTTCTATTTCTGTTGAATAGTTTCTGGATCTAACAACAACACTTTTTGTAGCACTTGTGTTGAGTCAACTATTTTCTATTTCTGTTGTGAAAATGATTTGTATTCAACAGTATATCATTGTTATCAGTTGTTTAATTTTATCATTTGATATGTTATTGTCATCTATGATTGTTATTGCATTAATCCATTTGTTATGTCAAGTTCTTTGTCTTAACAAAGTCAATATTTCGTTATAATTCGGAAGTTCTATTTATTATAAGGTGTCTTAAAGACAACTTGAAGTCTTTCAGAAGTCTGCCTCAAGTTGTCTTAAGACATTCTAAAGACATCTTCAACGAGATATCTTACAGATGTCTTTGAATCTCTTCTCAATACATAATTCATTATTCACTTTGAGGTCCGGTATAGTAGGTACCAAATAATGTGGCTCACTTGTCTTTAAGATGTGAATTTACGACATCTTATCGACGAGTTCAAAACAACGTCTTCTTGATGTCTTTTTTTGGTCTTCAGACGTTCAGACGTAGTGCAGACCTAGAAAAGACGTCTTTAAGACTCTGTGTGTTGTCTGGGTTCTAGATATTATCCAATTATAATAAAAAATCAATTCAATCAGCAAGATATCGTTGCCTCTGAATTGAAAAAACAGCTTTAAACCATAAAGCGCACAAACCAAAAATTGACTCGTCTCTGGCTGATTAAACATCAACAATTTGCAAAATTATCTGCTGTTTTTCATCAAAAAATTGGAAAAACTCCCATCCTTAATCGAATTGAAATTTAGCATTGAGCATATTTTATTTGGGTGCAATTTTCATCTTGAATCAAAATTGAACTTTTGTAGTTTATAGAAATTCCTACTGACTTTTTCCATTAGCAAAATATTTTCTCAGGCGTTTCCACTATCCATTCACTCCCAGAGTATTTAGCAGTTTCACACGAATTCCATCGCCCTTTTCTTTGGAAAATAATGGAAATGAGTATCTGTACCCTTTTCTTGAATGGCAACCGTAAATACAACAGTTTGTATTGCGCTTTGTTCTCGACTTAGACTTTATCCAAAATAAATCAAGTCTGTTTTAAGAGATGCTTAATGAAACTGGAAATTGATTTCCCTATTATAATCCTTTCAATTCAATACTTACTTTAACATACATAGTATTATTAATGTAGGCAGGTAATCCTATAGCATTCCTATTATTTTAACTAAATGTATTCTAAAGCCAGACTGCTATAGAAATAACAGTATTATATACCTGTTTGTGTATAATAGAAAAGTAAATGAGGATAACGGACTCGAGCCAGAGCATAAATAAATGGAAAAAACCTGAATATATACAACTTGTTTTTGTGGATTTAATAATTTAATCAAATTCACAGGCATACAAAAATCCATTCGCGCTTCGCCGGTTGCTTATTCCATTCGATTATTAAAAAGGAATTTTTCTCAGGAGAAAAATTCGAAACAACACATTGGAAAAGCTAAATCGTTCCATAAATTGAATTTTGATTTAATAAAAGATTTGCCAGGCATATGGAAAGAAAATTAGCTTTTTGCAGTTTCCTTTAATTGCATAGTAAGCACATGGTAGGTATAGAGAGCAATTTAAATTTCTTTGGCTCTATTCTGGTGTAATTGAGGGCGCGTTTTCTTAATGAGTATATGGTATGGGCGGAAATGAACACATTAGAAACTTTGCCTTAAGGCCGAAAATAATTAGTTCAAGCTCGCGTGGAACTCGGTTAATGGCTGCAAATTAACGCTAGGTTTTTACAAAAATTTATTCGGCTTTCAAATCAGAGCAACGGGGACCTAAATGATTCATTAGTGAAATGCCAACTGTTTATAATTCTGCGCTGGACATTTAATTAAATAAAACTTGATTGTTGGTTAAACAAGGATTAGTTGATTTTAAGCAAAGTCAATACAAGAATTGATAATACGATAACTATACGAGCGTGCGAAAAGTGATAAACTAAATATTTTATTATTGATCACTATTATTATCCAGGTTGTTTGAAGAACATCACATTCATGAACTAAAATAGAATTCAAGTTTCCACAAAGTTTACCATAAAAAAAACAACAAGTGTGTATCATATCCACTTACGAAACTTTGTAAATTCAATATCCTAGTGTCTCCGATAAAATCAATTCTTTACCGAGTTTTCCGGTTTGTTTCTTGAATGAACGTCCGTCAGCAGTCCAACAGGTGACTGACGCAACTTTAAAACGCACGCACAAAACTCCCCCACCGTCGACTTCGGCAAACCGATTTTCACAACTTATTTCGCTAGGAAAGTTTAGTTAACATCGCAACTTCGGTCGCGGTATAAGCTGCACTCTCTCGAACGGAAAAGAGCGCTCAAAGTTTTCTGGAACTTTGAAAGTTGAGAAATTTCGTTTTTTTGTTGAACAGGTTTGTTTAGTTTATTCGTTTTTATTGAAAATAGTAGGTAATTTAGTATGAGAATGTTAAGATCTTGTATTATTGTGAGATTAGAAACCAAAAGGTTTGAAAAAACGATAGCAGAAAAATTAAAAAACTTTAAAATTTCCTTCTATTCCTCTTCAAATAAGCTGAAATTTTGAGAGTTTGTAGTTCTCCACTGAAATAAGATTCTTTGAAAATTTCAGACTCCTAAGATATGATTTTGCAAAGTTTTTAGAAATTTTTCTTGGTAGGTACTTTTATGTTGAAATTTGAAACTTTTCTATGTTGTTTTGCTTTCAAAAGACGATTTGTGACTGCTTAAAATCCATACTGTGAATCATTGTGAGATTTCAATCCCAAATGAGTAACGACAAAATTGAGAAAACCATAAGAAACACAACATACTCCTTCTCATTAGTTTCAATATAAACCTTTTGCATCTGACATTTTTATTTATTACGTTCTTTTATTGAATTTTCCTCTTCATTCTCCTAATTGGAAAAAACATATTATTTGCTAATAGAGCACTGGACTCTGAAAAATAATTTACTGTCAATGACTAAGCTAGAATAGAGCAAAAAAAGTGAGACAATCGAAATGAAGCATCTCTGTTTGACTTGTCAGGTTTAATTTCCTCCTGTGCCCGAGGTCCAAAGTTTTTTTTTTTGTTCGAAAAGCAAGAAATCCAGCACTGATTGGCCAATAATTGCTATTTGAGCCTGATAAATTATTTGGTTATGGTTAAAAGCGTAAGACCTACCAAAACCATGATTCTTACGAAATCCATACTGAACATTCGTAAATTTTTGATAGATTCTTCACTTTCTTGAATTATAATTCATGTAAATTGGTTTCACATTATTGAGCACCCCAACTGCAATTCATAAATCGGCAAAAAAACAACAAAGCAATAATATAGAAAGAATCGTAAAAGAATAATAAAATCATTGCAAAAATGTCGATTCTGAAAACATGTACAATAGTTATCGAAAAATTTATGATGAAGAAGCCAATTAGAAATCTAAAAATCAACAAATTACCATTAGGAGAAGATAAAGTATTCCTGAAAAAAAGACAACGTTGATGAAAAAAGACCCATCACCATTAAAAAACTTTATCTAGAAAATACCTAGGGACAGATACAGAAACTTGATAGAAACATCAAATACCAGCTCGAAGAACAACTAAATAGTAAGTTTTGGCAAGATTTTATATGGACCCTGACCATAATTAAATTTGTGTAGGTACCTACTTTTAATATAATTTTATCATTATCACATCCACAACAGAATTTTTTCCTTTTGCATCCAAAAATTATAGTTAAACCTAAAGTTTGTGTTTTTTTTAAAGATAATTCCCCAAGTCAAAAATTTAGTAACTATGTTGGCAACACAAGCCTTTTATACATAAAAAATTTGAAAGCATTGACAATTTTACATTGTATTGCCAACATAATGTCATTTTGACTCTTATCTTTAAAAAAAAACCAGACTTTACAAAAAATTATCTATCTGTATGGTGCTTAATGATTTCATAATTTAATGGTTCTGCTAATAGAAACATGTAATAACAATAATTATTTTTAATTTATTATGTCATTGCTATTTGCTTGAAGCTTATGTTGTTTCAATTTTATAGCTTGTTGTTTAAGAAATTATTTTTTTTTACTAAGGTATTACAAAACTGAAAAGTTTAAGTATAATTTTTTACGTTTTTATAGTTTTCCAGTAATTATACATATATGAAATGTTGAAAATGAAAAATCCTGAAAAAAATCTTCAATAACTATGTATATTTGGAGATTATTCGAATATTCCAAACAATGTAACTAGAGGATGAATGAATACTTCAGCTGAATTCTTGATTGAATTAGCTTCACACTTTATATAGTAAATTGCAGAAATATTTAAACCTCAGTATCTGAAAATCTGTGAGAGATTTGTAGAGAATTGTAGCTCCTATGAAGCTCAAAAAACTTGCATTGGAAAATATTGATAATTATGGTTGTTTATAATTTATTCATTAAACTATAATTATATATATAAATTAAATAAACTTTATAATGAAATAATGAAGCTATAATAGTACATTGAAATACAAGTTTCATAAGACATCATTTTATCGCACGAGCCCTATATTAGAAAACTCGCCTCCGGCTCGTGCGATAAAATGACTTATGAAACGAATATTTTATACTATTTTTTCTATTTTGGTATTGTTTAATTAAAAAAAACAAATTTTTCTCGGAAATTTTATTCTCATATTTCCGGATTTTATATGTTTAGGTTGGTAACACTACGTGCCAAATATAGAAATCTATTATAAAATCGCGAATGACAGTTCGATGGCCATCAGTCAGCCAGCGTTACCAACCTCCGATAAGTAAAAAATGAGTGTCACAAAGAGCTTCTTTTCGAAACTACTTTCAGTGTCGAAAAGACTTCGATATGACACCAAAATAGAAAAAATAAGATAAGATTGACTAGACTACACCTTTCCATATTATGTATTCCAGAGACCGTCAGTTGAATTTCAGAAAGCGTCAATTAAATTGCAATTGACGCTTTCTGAAATTCAAGATTAGTAAATTGTATTTCAAAGTAATTAATTTTATTTCGGAAAGCGTCAATTGTATTTCAGATTAGTTGATTGTATTTCAGAATACGTGAATTATAATTTAGAATTTGTCAGATGTAGTTCAGAAATCATCAGTTGTATTTCAGATAACAATAGATATTTATTTGATCAGGAGTATGGGTAATGGTAATACTATGTAATGTAATGCACATGGAATCAAATCCACACAAGTCCCATGAAGATAACTCCGAATAGAATACAATGTTTCATTTTCAAACGATCTTTGAAAAATGATTAAAAAGCTAATAATTGTATGTCTATACATTTTCGAAGAAGGTTTTCAGGATAAAATATTGTTTTCCTCCAACCATCGAAAAATATTGTACTTTCACTTTTCCACATGATATAATCTTCCAAGAATGCTCTGAGTTAAGTAATATGTACTCCCTTAAATAAAAATACTAAAACCGACTACTAGTATTTAATAGGTACAGAAATCAAACTTGCATAACAGAATCTGTGACAGAATCATGAAACTGACCGAATGCTGCACTGCTCTGGCACAGTTTCCACCAACAGCGGTATTTTTGGCAGCATCAATTATGTTTTCCAGATATAGAATGCGTTGTTCACCAAGTTACGGAGGCTGTATAATACGGATTCTAAATTGACGTTGTTTTTAAGTGTAAACATTCGATCTTCAGGTAGTTTCCTACAGTTGATACGGATCATTGATACGGATATATTTTCATTAAAGACTTGTATTACTTTTTCTTTTATCTGAACCAAGGTTAGGCCGGAATCATCTTCAAGCCATTCAATAATGGTGTAAATTTGTTCTTCACCAAAAATTTTGGGTTTTTTCCCTCCTTTGGGGTTTGGGTTTGGTTTGCCCGAATAAACCCAATGGTAAGCCGTTGTGTATGACACATTTAACTGCTTACTTAGTTCTACCAAAGAATTCTACCAAATCGTCGCTGCGATTGGCCGAAACAATGATCAGTTCCCTGTCCTTATTGGGATTCTTTATGTATTCTTTCCTTTCTATCGCTTCTCTATGGATTATTTGCTGTTTGCACATGGGGCAAGTTATAACAATTACCCCAACCTAATTTTTTCCTTTGACGAAAAGAAAATCGACGCACCTTTCATGAAAAAGGTGAAGGCATGGCTGCAATCTTGATACTGGCTTTTGAAGCATAGATATGCGACATATACCACATATGTATATCTTTAAGTTTCATGCTTATGGATGAACTTATCTTTGAAATATTTATGAGTTTTGACAGTGAAAACCATACCATTTGAAAAGTACAGGTACCCACCTAAGCAGATTTTCCCAAATTAACACAAGCTATGTGTATAGATTACCCATTATAATAGTTATTTACATTACAAGTGCGTTTATGAACATAATTATAATAACGAGCGTGAAAGATTAAATTAGATCACACGAGTTTTATAGTAATGTTTAAACGCACGTGTGATGTACAATGTTTTATCTACAAAGTGTAAAATAATAATGTTTTTCTACTGAC